TATCTTGCAGGCCCTCTTTACTAGTAGCAATATTGATTGTTGCTTTCCAGAAGCTTTACCCCCCCTTACTTACACATGCAAAAGATTCCACTTCCTCAATTGTGTTTATGTGTGTACTAAGGAATGATAATTGACTGAAACTTATTCCTGCCTTTTCGTTGTTTTATACTAGCTCCTGAAAACTCCAGTGAAAAGAGATAATTATCTCTCACAGGAATCTTAAGAACTCATTAGAAACAGCCAACTTGTTCCAGGTGTTGAGTTCTGTTCTGCGGGATAAGAGCAGTAACTTTCTTTACATGTAATAGAACAGGACCCTGGTCCTACGAATGTACATCCTGCGTGAGGGAAGGGAACCTCTTTTTCTTTTTCTTTTGTCCAAGGGTTACATTCTTGTGGGGGTAACATTTTGTAGGCCGCATACCAGTGGTAGACAGAGCTATAGGCAAATGTGAGAGGAACAATGGTTGTGACTCATTTGTACAGAGGTTTCTACACAATATACAACTCCATCCAGGTGAACTAGATCATCATCACCACAGATCAAGGACACTTTCCAGCTCAGCAAAAGCACTTAGGGTTGAGATAGAGCAGGGCTGCTAAGGGGTGTGGATTAGGGAAAGGGCTGTGGCTTGGACCAGAGTCCTAAGGGCCAGATTAAGAGGCTTGGAAGACCACATTTTGCAGCAGGGATTGAGTTTCCCTACTCCCCATCCTATAGAACCCACACATTGCGTGGCTTATGCCCCACTCAAATTGCTCAAGGCGATTTAAAATCAGTTTTGTTTTTACACCTTGTGGCCATTAAGACTTAGTGTGATCCTACACACATGTACTCAGAATGTAAGTCCCATTGAGTTCAATGGAACTTACTCCCAGACCAATGTGCATACAGTGGTACCTTGGTTCTCAAACTTAATCCGTTCCGGAAGTCCCTTCAAAACCAAAGCATTCTAAAACCAAGGCACACTTTCCTATAGAAAGTAATGCAAAATGGATTAATCCATTCCAAACTTTTAAAAACAACCTAAAACAGCAATTTAACATGAATTTTACTATCTAACGAGACCATTGATACATAAAATGAAAGCAATAAACAATGTACTGTGGTCACCAATCAATCAGTAGCTGAACTGGGTTCCACACAGTCACAAAAACAACAAAAAATTGCCTCAACAACACTAAATAAATAGCAAAAACAGACAGAACTCAGTCTAACACTCAAAACGGAAGTGTGGTACTCAAAATGGAAGTGAGGCACTCAAATCGGGAGTGTAACACTCAAAACAGAGCACGTTTGGCTTCCGAAAAAAGTTCACAAACTTATTTACTTACTTCCGGGTCTGCAGTGTTTGGGTTCCAAGTTGTTTAGTACCAAGGTGTTTGAGAACCAAGGTACCACTATAGTAGGATTGCATCCAGAGGTGTGTCTGCCAGGGAGATGCCCTTGCTCCTATCTGGAAATGATAGTCCAAAGCACAAGAAATGTCGCTTGACAAAGTATGTGTCTTGGATGGTAAGACCCCATGGCAACAGCAGATTGCACTGCCCCACATTTGAGAACATAAGAAGAGGCTGGCTGGCTCAGACCAAAGATCTATCTAGTCCAGCAGCTTGTTCCCACAGATGCTAGTGAGAAGTGCGCAAGTTGATCTTGCAGTCACTCCTTTAAGACATGTGCCAATAGGACTGGCTCAAAGAGAAGTCCCGGTGCATATAAATGTCTTGCTGGACAGACTACATGAACACTTTTCATCTCCATCATGTATGTCATGTGGATGCTCCTCAAGCCAATGCTTCCAAATTTACCAGCTCAAGAGGTTTATGGATAATGGCGGCAAAAATTATTTTGCTTTGAGACCTGTAATTCAGTAGAAGAGAGTGCTAAATAGAACAGGTAACACAATATGTTGTGGGAACTAGATAAGCTAATATAAAAGGATGGGCTTTCCCACTGGATAGTTCTCAGAGACACAAATTCTTGCTGTAGGGTTGTGATGGATGGGACCCTTTCCCATCTCGCGACGGCCCAGGAGCGCTGAGTATAATTGCCAAGTGCAAGTCAGACGTGAAGGAGCCACCGTCTCATCCGGGTCATTTTACCAGCTGGATTTATTATGTCGAAGGCCACTCATTCAAAGTAAGGGTGCCTCCATTAAGATAACAGTGGTCCTAGATGACTCAGGAGGAGTCAGAAGTAAAAATTACTGATTTAGGAGGCTGAACTGGTAGTACTGCTATCTGCACAGAAAACATCTACTACATTGTTTAGATTGCTATCAACATATTCCTCAGTCAGCACTGCACTACCTTCCTTTCTCATTAGATGCAAAGGAAATACATCAGAGTGATTGCATTGTGGAATCGAGCCCATGGAATTTCCATCTCTGCACAAAGGTCTGATCTAACAAATTTGTGTCTGCAAATCAGTGTGTGTGTGTGTGTGTGTGGATTCTAACAAACAATCTGAGTCCACTAGATATTAGTCTCAACTGTACTCCAAGGAAGGATTTTTTATTATTATTATTTTTGAGATGGAGACATGAGACATACTGGCAGTGCCTGACAGTACTCACACCAGCACCAAGTGCTGGCACCTCTTTTTTTACTGCCCAAGTCTGCTATTTTCTGCTTTTATCAAAATATGGGTACCAGCACCTCCAGTGGCAGAGCTTCATGCTCCGGCACCGGGGGGCTGAGAGCAGGCGGGGGCAGGGACGGGTGTGCGTCCTGGGGGCATGGCACGCCACCTGCGGGGATGTGGTGCCCAGCATGGGGGGGCAGCGGCGATGGCACACCACTGGGATCGCACTGCCGGGGGCGGTGCACGTCCCCTGCTCTCCTCTTCCTCTGCCAGTGAGCACCTCATTATTAACAAAAAAAGAGCACTGCATATTGGTATGAAAATACATATATCAGAAGGCATTAGATTGTCTATCAAACATTTATCATTGTTCGGCTAACAAAATAGTTCTCACTGGGGTTGTGATTGTATGACGTGCATTTGTCTGAATTTTCCTGTTGAGCCCATTTTTGTATAAAGTGGCATATAAATTTATTAATTAAATTAATACCACCACCACTGGGACTGCCTGTTTCCAGTTTCATGACACAAAGAGAGAAATTAGGAAGCCTGTGCCTTGGAAACACTGTTATGGAAAGCAAATGGCAAAGTTTGCAAATATCTGCTTAATTTATTCTGTTGACAGAATCTGGATTTTTTTTCAATTGGCAAGTGGGGAGGCGAGGGAGTACAGGGTCTATGGCACCTAGGCTTGCCATATTTCAAAAAGTGAAAATCCAGACACAAAAACACACACATCGAAATGAAACTTTTGAGCTATTTTTAAGGGAAATCGCCAAAAACAGCACCGTCGACATGGGTTGCCATGCGTCTGGGCTTCTCCGGACATTTCCACCCAGACACTGCTATGTCTGGGAAATTCCATACGTATGGCAACCCTAATGGCACCTTTAACCTCCCTGCGATGCATACAAATAACAGAAAATAATACAGTGGTGCCTCGCAAGACGAAATTAATTCGTTCCGTGAGTTTTTGCGTCTTGCGAAGCACGGTGTCGGAAAAGTTTTGGAAAAGCTTCAAAAATCACCAAAGTCTTCAAAAACCTCAAAAAAGGCTACCACACCACGTGCTATGAGTTGCGCCTTGAAGTCAAGTCGCAACTGTATTAACGGTTTTAAGAAAAAGGAAACAAACTTGCAAGACGTTTCCGTCTTGCGAAGCAAGCCCATAGGGAAAATCGTCTTGCGAAGCAACTCAAAAAACCAAAAACCCTTTCGTTTTGCGAGTTTTCCATCTTGCGAGGCATTCGTCTTGCGAGGTACCACTGTATAATGCAGTTTATAAACCAATGCAGCACTAGAATGAAGTGTAGAAATGTAAGGCTATGTACACATTAGTGGCTTAAAACACAGTGAGGCTGTTTCCCCCTCCTGCTTTTCAAGTTGCATTTTTATGTTGCTGTTTACAACAGAGAGAGGGCATAAGTGTTTTTAACCCAATGCATATTGCCCAGTTTGTTTTTCCCCAGCTGTCACACACCCACACCATTTCTATTGCACAAAGCTGGCATCGTCACATGTGCACCAGATGTCTCAAGTACACACCTCAACTTAACCGTAGCTTACATTTTCAAATCAAATGGCAGCTGGCTTGAGGGGAAATGCCGTATTTCTCAAGGACCTACAGAATACATAGGGATTGTGGCTAAGGTCATGTGGGCCCTGTGTACTCCGCTCGAAACACCAGCAGTGGGAATACACTGCACCTGGAGCAAAGGGTTGTGTGCGCACAGCCTAAGTCAGACTCTTGCACTGTGGAGGTGTGGAAATGCACGAGTGGAGAGGGGACACAGCATGTTCCTGGCCTCCATGTGCTCAAGGTGTTGGGTTTTTTTGCACAGGGACCCATGTGAGTCTGCGCTGCAGAGGGAGGAGGAGGTAGTACAGTCATACCTCATGTTACATTTGCTTCATGATACGTTTTTTGAGGTTGCGTCCTGCAGCAACCCGGAAGTACCGGAAAGGGTTACTTCCGGATTTTGCTACTCATGCATGCGCAGACCCACAAAATGACGTCACGCGCAGAAGCGGCGAATCGCAACCTGTTGCGTTCTGCTCATGTTGCGAACGGGCGTCTGGAATGGATCCCGTTCGCAACCAGAGGTACCACTTTATCAGGAAACAAGCAGAGAAGGCAGTGAGCTCTCCTTGCAGGCGCAGATCTGCCACGCCTCCTAGCTATCTTGAGCCCTCTGCCTGAGACGACAACCTCGCTGGCTGGCCTTGAATATGAAGGCACATTCTCCTCTGATTTTGTTAAATGTGAAGAAGTATGTTAACAGCAATATATCACCTTTCAAGACCAGAAAGCAATAATGGCCTGTACTTGATCAGAGAATAACAGAACTGTAGAGTTGGATGGTGCCCTGAGGATCATCTAGCCCAACCCCCCCAACCCCCAGCAATGTAGGAATATAGGGATCCCATACAGGGATCAAACCTGCAGCCTTGGCATCATCAGCACCATGCTCTGACTAACTGAACCAACAATTCACTCTAAAGCTGTACAATACAAAGCTGCCATCAAAACAGGATGATGGAAAGTCTGCACAATAAGATCAGGGATAGAGAACCAGCATCCCTTCAGATGTTGCAGGACAACAGTTTCCATCATCGATGACCTTTGGCCTCTATGGCTGGGGCTGATGGGAGTTGGAGTCCAACAAGATCTGGAGGGTACTAGGCTCCCTATCCCTGCAATCCCTCTAAAGATGCCTCCGCTCCATTATATAACTGCAATACTTAAACATTTACTGCTAGAGAAACGCTCGCAAAGCTTGGCCAAACCAGCAGTTGAGCAATTCCTCCCATCAGAGTGTTGTTTGGCTGAAGGATGGGGAAGACAATTTGCAGAGAGGATCAGAGGCCAGAGAGGAATTCTGGAAGGAGGGAGAGCAAATGGAGCAGATAGTGGAAATCTGATGCAGTTCATCTTGCCAGTAAACCATGGTGGTGGGTGGATAAGAGTCTGTTTCCCAATTCCGGGAGTTATTTTGGCACAGCAAGGTTCACATTCCAACTTCTGATGAAGAGTTATGAGATAAAGGAAAACGTACTAAGCGCATGTTTATCTCTAGGCAAAGTCCAAGAAAAGAAGTGCCAAAGGAAGGAAGGAAATTAAACACACAGCTGATGTTGGTTATGCAAAAAAAAAAGGTATGAGACATGAGTAATACATGGAGGATACAAGGACCAGGTGTTTAAGGGAGGCAGGAGGAAAAACCCACAAGTTTCATCTACGTACATGAGTGTGAAACAAATACCAACTTGTCTTAAGCTAAATGTGGGAAACCGAAACACTGTGACCTCCCAGGAGACCCTCAAGGCTTGGTCCACACATTATGGTAAAGAGGAGGAAGTGCTCTGCTTTGCTGTTCAGACAATACTACACCATATCAGAAGTACATTTCCAGGCTCAAAGGTCACAGGGGTTACTACTGTGCTGCCATGATCCAGAATTTCCCAGTTCGTATGTTACCTTGACTTACGACAGAATCCATTTGGTAAGGACATAAGAAGAGCCCATCTACAGTCAAGCACCACAGGAGCCAACCAGATGCCTGGAGAAAACCTGCAAGCAGTATTTGAGCACAAGAACCCTCTCCCCTCCGGTGTTTTCAAGCAACTGGCAATGACAGAAAGAGCTGCTGGGAGTGGGAAGACAGTGTGTGCCAATAGGCTTTCTCTCATTGAATTGTGAAACTGAATCGGGCACAAAGTCCTGTGGTTCAGACTGCCACAACAACAACCACAGTTTGCTGGAGATCTCTGGGCACTTCCAGAAGGTCAGTATTCTTGGGTGGGAATCTATCACATACCCTTTCTGAGTGTTTTATTATTATTATTATTATTATTATTATTATCATTATCATTATCATTATCATTATCATTATCAACATCATTGCACTCCACATACATCCCAAGACAATGTACAAAATATAACAAAGACAGACTAAAATATAATTAAAAGATTATAAAAACAGCTTTTTTAAAATTGCAGAACATTACACCCCACTCCCACCTAGCAGTTCGAAAGCACCCCTAAGTGCAAGCAGATAAATAGGTACCGCTTTATAGCGGGAAGGTAAACGGCGTTTCCGTGTGCTGCGCTGGTGCTGGCTCGCCAGAGCAGCTTCGTCACGCTGGCCACGTGACCCGGAAGTGTCTTCGGACAGCGCTGGCTCCCGGCCTCTTAAGTGAGATGAGCGCACAACCCTAGAGTCGGACACGACTGGCCCGTACAGGCAGGGGTACCTTACACCCCACTCCATTAGCCACAAGTGTATTTATTAAGGCTGCTATCCTGTGCACACTTTCCTAGGAGTAGCCATCATTTGACACAGTCAGACTCAATTTCCATGCAGACACGCATAGGATTAGGCTGTAAACCTCAGACTGCTTTTTAAGTTTTGGTTTTCTAAAAAAGAGATTCATGACACCCTTTATCCCACACGCTTCTCAGTAAAAACAGCATTTCCTTCCCATAACAGCTATGGAAAAGTCCTGCTTCCATTAGTGGCACCAGGGCTGACACAGAAGCCAGATCTCCCCCGAGAAGGCTCTTCATAGGGGTAAAGGAGAAGCAACTACACCACTAGGTTTCATTCAGGTTTGGTCTACTTGTTATATCTGGTCTACATAGAACTGTCCATTTGGGCAATGTAAGTTATCAATGAAATTAGTTAACAAGGACACCCACACACCCACACACCCTACGGTTAACGCTATATGGTTATAGGGATAACACTATGTGGTATAGGGATAATGGGCGTTTTTCCTTTTTCTTTGTGTATTACAAAAAAACAATTTTTTTTTTTAAAAGAGAGAGAGAGAGTTCAGCCTAGTTGGCATAGAGGCAATCCAAATTCAGAGATCCACTTTCTTCCTTATTTGCTATAACCAGGGAGCAGTTATTACGAATCTGCCCTCCTGTAAATGGGAGAGGGAGGTTTGTGGGGAGATTAAGGAAACAGTACAGTATTCCTTTTCTCCCATGCATTTTACCTTTGAGCTCTCTCTCTCTCTCTCTCTCACACACACACACACACACGAACCCCTTAATTGCTTTGCTGCCTGAAATTCCTCCAGGCTGATCACGGCGAGATGGATTTTCAGCTATGGTATTTTAGCCTTGGTGTGTGTGTGTCCGAACAGTTGCCTATATGCAGAAAAGCCGCTGCGCTGGATTGTTAGGCTGAAAAACGTTCGGAACACGCACCTGACAGGAAAGAGCCATGACATAAAACAAGGGAATTTTAGTTAGGGCCCTCTCTACACCCCAGTCACTTCAGCGGCCATGGGGAAATAAACAGGGCCAGGATGAGGACCCCAGCAGAACGGGCCGTCTTCTCCCCGCTTTCCTTCCAAGAGGGGGCTTCGAACCAACCCCCAGCAATGTTGCCCTTGAGCGATCGGACTCAGGCGGCATCCCCGGCGCGGCGTCCCCGAGGTCGCCCTTGGTTGTCCCCGGCCGGCAGCACCCCCAAACTCCGGGGCTAGCGAGCCTGGCAAGGGAGGCGCGCCCGCCTAGCAGCTGCCAGAAGCAGCCGGCATGGGCTCGGAAAGAGCGCACGGAGCCTGGCACTTTTACGCATCCCCAGCACCCGCTCCTTCGCTGGCCATCGGGGCGGGAGGCGCGACAGGGAGGCTCCGGCTGCAGCCAAGAGAGAAATCACGTCCTTCCCGCACGCCCGAGCTTCCCTTTCTTTTGCTCGGTTACTGTACATCCACTCCACCTCCCCCCCTCTTTCTGCTGCAGTTCTGCTTTACCTTGAAGCCCAAGGCTGGGGCGGGGGTGTGGTGCATGCGCAGCTGGCTGCAGCTGCCTCCTTTCATTCATTAAAAAAAAGGCAGCCCCAGCCTACCATCCATCCTTAACTTGCAACTAGTTCCCTTCCGGCCCCCCATTCATGAATGAGAGCGGAGCATGCGCTTTGGCCCTGCAATGCCCACCCATTCATAGAATTGAGAGGACGGGCATGCGCAGACGAGGGCCTTTCCCTCCCATTCATAAAATAGCCATTTTCCCAGGCAGCAGTTGTTGCAATAGCGAGGCGAAGCGGAGGGGGAAGCGACGGCTGCTGCTGCAGCTGACAGCGCAGCACTTGTAAGTCGCTCCCGGAGAAGCCAGGGGTGCTCCGTGCCAAACTGCTCCCCTTGCACGCACAGCTCGCGAACTGTCTCGGATTTAGGATTAACTCGCCTGTTGAGAGATGATCTTGGCTGGATTATTTCAAGTAAGTAAGGAATTTCATCTTTCTGGATTTAAATGCACAGGGTGAAAGAGGGGGAAAATAATAATGCCCCGTAGAGGAAACATTTTGCTCCCTTTCCTGGTTGACTTTTCCTGACCTTCTGCGAGGAAGGCGTGTGTCGCTCAGCCAAAATCGACCCACGTATCTCTCTCTCTCTCCTTTTTCTTTTTTAAAAATAAAGCCAAGTATCTCATATATATGTATGTGAATGATATCTGTGATCTGATGATGATGATTGTACAATTTGGCTTGGCCATCGCCTGCTCTTCCCGTTGCCATCTGCATTTGGGCATTTAGATAAGGTATGAGGGGACGTTGTGATCCGACTTAGAATTCTCTTCTTACTAAATAAAAATAAAAATCTTCTAGCCGCCCCCGCTTTCCCAGTTGAGGGGGAGTTTGTCCCTTGCTCGTGTGTGCCAGAGTGGTGGCGAGGGAACCTTTCGCTGGGCAAGGGCTGGCGGAGCCCACGCGCCCCCGGCTTGACAAACGCAGCTGCCCCTGAGCGCCTTGCCGAAGGCGCTCTTCGCCTCCTTCCTCCTGCGCCTCTGCCTCGCCGGGCTACGCAGTGGCTCCGGAGCCTCCTCTCTCTCTCTCTCTCTCTCTCTCTCTCTCTCTCTCTCTCTCCATAATAGGGCACTTTAGAAAGGCGAGCCGCTGGAGTGTCGGCTCCTGGCTGCCTGACCTTTGCTCCCTCGCGTTTTATTTCATGCAACAGCCCTGCAACGACGACTACGCCTCTCTTCCTCCCACCCCACTCCCCACCGATTTGTTTTTGCTATTTTAAAGCCTCACTTCACCTTTCTGTCCATCTTGTGATGTTGAACTTGGAGAGAAAAGGGGATCAGATCTGGAATAAAACTGCGCAGGTTGGGTGCGCCAAGGGGCTCTCTCCTGGACTTGTGCGCAGCGAACCCGGAGTGTGTGTGTGTGTGTGTGTGTGTGTGTGTGTGTGTGTGTAGGGGAGAAAAGGAATATGAAGAAATAAAATAGCGCCTGGCTCTTTTGCTCAGGGCCTTCTCCACCTATGGCGTAGTACAGATCTATAGGCGAGGCTGGCGTTTGTGCTGGAAGCAGCCGTGGCGTCCCAGCGCCTGGCAAACCGAGAGGAGCCTAGAACCCCTCGCAGATTCTGGCCACCCAGGACCTCGAAGGCAGCAGCCCTGGTTGCTAGCGAGGAGGGCGAGCCGGCCTGTAGAGCTTGTCGGTGGGCGTGCAGAAGGGCATCACCGGGATGAATGCTACAGGGAGGGAGGAGAGGGGAGGAAATCAATCTCTTCTCCTCTCTTCTCCCCCTCCCCACCCTCATTTTTTTTCCTTGAGAGGAGAGCATGCAATGCATTGCAAGGGAGAGCCTGACGCGCCTGTAACCCAACCTTCCCATCGGGCCTGAAATGTCAATGTCAAAATCTCCTCTTGCTAAACTGAGGTGGGGGGGGGGATAAAGGACGGTTTGCTCAGCTGATTTCCGCTCTGAGGTGATTTTGCTAGGGAGCCTCTTTTTAGTATCTCCGAAGGATTTCGACAGAGAAAATAATTCGCAAGGGAAAGCCAGCTGTTTGCAGAGATTTCCAAGTGGGCTTCAAAGCTCCCCTTCCTCTCCCCCAACCCCTATCCTTCAGCCTTAATCAGCATGTTCAATATTTAACATAGCTTCCTTGATGTGTTTAAAAGTAGTGTCAGCTTGTGGACTATGATCTCCACCACTGGCTTCCTTTTCACCAGCTTGTGGCTATGATCTCCACCACTGGCTTCCTTTTCACCAACCCACTTGTCTTCCAAACAAACACTCACACACACACATATATATATATACCGGTATATGAATGGTAGAAATGGGTGTCTGGTGAGGGAGAGGCAGTTCTCAAGTTCTTGGAACCCTTCTGAGGATGTCTCCATTTGATAAATGCGCTGCTTTCTACAGCCTGCTGTGTCCCATTCATACTAGGAGCCCTAGTTTGATATTGACACGTTAAATAAAAGCACCTTTTAAAAGGAATGTCTCCTTCCCTGGAAGAAAAAAACAAAGCTGTGGCTAATCTTTGAAAGCATAAAAAACAAAAGTGTTTCTATTGAGTAATGACTAACTCTGTTTATGCAGGATGATGTTATCTTCGGAAGCCTGTTAGCATCGGGCTTCATAAAATGGCAGCAAGGAGCCTTTTTTCTTCCATTACAATATCTAGTTTTCCTCAAGTCTGGCTCAAATTGAGCATAAAATTCATTAGAGGTATTGAGAGCACCATTTACCAGGCCTGGATTCTTGTTAGATTTGCCTCTCGCTTTTGACAGATGGGAGTGTGGAGGTTGTGGAAACCTTAAAAGCCTGCTGGAAGTTTGATCCCAAACACACTTACTCAGAAGTAAGAACCACTGAGTTCAATGTGCCTGGTAAGTGTGCTTAGGATTGTGTACTTAGCACAGTCTCCTGTACTTTGGCATCTCAATAATTAAAAGTTTAAACAAAACGAAACCTCAGAGATGTTTGCCAATGTGAAATCAGGTATTGCTTGGTGCGTATATTAGAGGCCAAAAAAAAAAAAAAGGAGTTCCCAGAGATTTGGATATCCTGCCAAAAAAAAAAAAAGGTCTAGCCGTGTTTGAGCTGAAATAATGCACAGTTGGCCATGATTCTCCAAAAGAGTTGTTCAGTCACTTCAGGATTTCACAATCGCCAGCAACCATTTGATGTCTTGCGTTGAGCACTCAGGTGCCTTTTCTCAAGGACCTCATCCTTCTGGTCTTGCTTATTTGTTTACGTAGTTTCTCTCCAAGAAGCCAAGGCTGCTGGGCACAAGGACCACTCGATTCCCTTGATTTAGCAGGGCTTGGAAAGGGCAAAAATGGTTGATGAAGAAATCTGATGCTAGTTTGCTTTACTGTAGGGTGTTGTTTAGACCTGGTAAAATACGTGGGTTGGAAGCAAATCTTTTAATGCACACCTGCTGATACGTTTCAAGAAAGTGCTTTAATGTAGCTTTATAGTCTTTTTAACACTCTGGGATGTTTTGTGAAGGTGGATGCTCTATTTTCCTCCCAACCTCCCTTCCCCTTATCCCACAGTGCTTACATGTAATTTGAGTCTTGTTAACAGTGGCTCCTTTCCTACTGCTGGCCTGGTCAGTTCCTGAGAATCTGCTGCTTCCTTCCAGTGGAAGGTGGGCTGGGAAAGCCTTCTGATGCCCTTTAGGGTTTTCCTGCTGTGTGGTTCAGTTTTCTGCCCTTTTTATAGTCGTGTTTCAGCTTTCAAGCTCCTGTCCTCACAGCTGGAACTAGTAAAGCTAGAAGCGTCACCAGACAACACATTGCAGTGTAGTTCCAGGTAGACTTTTTGGTCCGATTCAGCAGGGGCCATCTCCTCCTTAAAGGTGCATTCCCCTGGCAACTGGAAAAACAATAACTGCATGCAGCAGAATAACTCATCAGAGTTGGGAGGGATCTTGAAGGTCATCCAGCCTAACCCCCTGCTCTCTGCAGCTTGCAACTACAGCATCTCTGACTGTTGACCTTCTAGATTCTTCCTTAAAAACCTCCATAAAAGGAGAGTCCACCACTACCAGAGGCAATCAGCTCTTGGCAAGAGGACATTTCTCCTAAGCTTTCACCAAAATCTCTTCCTATTACCATTTCCATTCTAGTCCTGCCATCTGGGTTAGCAGAGTCTCCTCCATCTTCCACATGCCAACCCTTCAGGGATATAGAAATGGCTATCATGTCTCCCCTTAATCTTCTCTTTCCCCAGGCTAACTAGATCCAGCTCTCCAACTGTTCCTCATAGGACCATACAAAGTGCTGTGCAATGCAGGGAGACAGGACGTGCTTGGAAATCCAGCTGACCTTCAAGCTGGGCCCTTCTGCTTTGCTTCCAGAAGGTTTACCTGCTCAGGCATAGAAGGGAGACTACAGTCATGACCCTATCAAGAATTGTGGCTTATTGGAGTGACACCTGTTTGGTTGTGTTTTAAAAAATGAACTCGCCATAGCATCTTTCTAGTTTGATTTTTCTCTGCAGCATGACAATTGCTTGACCCCTCTTGACAGGTAAGCTGTCTTCTGTTTTCATGACCACACAAACAATTTGCACCCTGCATTTACTCAGAAAAGCAAAGAGCTTCTCTTCAGATTCTTTCCCTGTTGCCTTGCTCGTTTCCAGAAGTTCTTTTGTTCAAGAGGAATGAATACTTTCTTATTCCCTCTCGATTCCTGCCAGGCTTCTCTGGGACATTCAGCAAGAGCAGTTAAAAGTTCCACAGCTATTGTATGTTTGCTCCGTTCAGAAGGCTTCTGCTGCTCTTTCTTGACCTGTTCTTTTTTGGGGACAACTTACAAGTTCTCCAAGCTTCCCACGATTTACATTGCTTTACATTCATAGGTACAGTGCACTCTGTTCCAAGGGCACAATCCACAATCCAACCACACTCAACAGGACTTGGAAACCCTTAGCTGAATCATGCCTGCATGTGTTGTTCGAAACATAATTCTTGGCTAGTATCCTGCGAAATATGCTAGCTTCTTGCTATAGTTCGCAGTAAGGGGTGACCAAGATGGAAAAGCATAGATATGATGATGAGCCAGTGTGGTGTAGAGCTTAGAGCACTGGGCTAGAAAGACCCAGGTTCAAATCTGCACCCAGCAATGTCCTTCACATTGGGTCACTCACTGTCTCTACATAATCTACCTCAAAGGGTTGTTGTGAAGGTTAAACAGAGTGGGGGGGGGAAGAGCCATGTATGCCGTCTTGAGCTTCTTGGAGGAAAGGTGGGATATAAATGGAGATAATAATAATAATAATAATAATAATAATAATAATAATAAATAATTACAGTCCACCCCTTTTTATTATGAATATGCAATAATGTCTCCTGAGCTTCTGGAAGAGGTTGAAGGGCTGGTTTCCAAAGAAATCAATCTTCTATGTGAATGTACACTCATTTTAGACTATACATCTAATGTCCTCCGCCATTCAATTGGCTCTCCTACTCTCTGCTTGGAAATTAATCCCATTCTGTTGCACGGTATTTACCCCCAAGTATGGGTGCAAGGAAGTGCAGCCTTACTTCAGTACTTTGACCTTCCTGGAAGAAAAGGTGGTAAGAAGAAATCCAGGGCAGTCCCAGAACAATTTATATGGTGTTCAGAGTCCCATTTTGGTGAGCTGTTGAACGGAAGGTAACTGCGTGGAGTGGGTGGACTGATGCGTTCCTGGAGGAAGGTTCTTATTTCAAAAATCCATCTCAGACCATCGAGTGCTCCATCCATTCTGAGCCTGATCTGCCTGAGATGTTCTCATTTGTACTTCCCCTGGCATAAGAGTGGGTGAATTTCCTCGTGATCTCTGGGCTTTGGTGCTCTCTGCCACGACTTAGAATTATACGACTCTAGAGTCGGAAGGGATCCCAAGGATCATCTAGTGTAGATTAACCCTGCTGGATCAGGCCATTGTAGGCCCATCTAGTCCAGCATCCTGTTCTCACAGTGACTCATGGGAAACCTGCTAGCTGGGCCTGAGCACAAGCGCAGGCTCCACTCCTATAGTTTCCAGCAACTGGTTTTCAGAAGGATTGCTGCCTCCAACCATAGGGGCAGATCTCCATACATACAGAGCCATCCGTAGCCTTGGGCATTTCAGGACGACAGTCCTTTTTATTTCAATAGGCATCTCAAAGCAGTGCATAGCCTACTAGCTACCACTGTTGCACACTCTGTGTGTCTCAATAGTACACATATGCAGAAGACCCACGGAAATGAATCAAGACTCCAGGGCAGTGTGCCTGGTGGGTTCCATCATTTTTGTAACTTTCCTATTGTCAGCCCCCCTCCCCCTTTCCCCCTTTTGAGGTCTGGCCGTCTGCAGAGGCTTCTTTATTTATTCCTAGCTCTCTTTCAGGGAACTCAAGGCATCTACACAGTCTCTCCCATTTTATCCTCGCAACAGCCTTGTGGAGTAGATTCAGCTGAGAAGTAACAACTAGCCCAAGGTCACTCAGTGAGATTCATGGCTGAGTGCTTATCTGAACCCAGGTCTCCTGTGTCCTAGCGCTACGCTGACTTTTGGCTAACGTTCCATTTGTAGTTTTAAACATTTTAAAATTTAAAGCATCCCCCCCAGCCTCACCCATAGCGGATTATGTAATATCAACAAGACAGACTTACAATTTAAATGGCATGTCCCAAAAGGAAAAGGGGTTCAGAGGGATGAAAAAGCAGACTTGGGGACTAGTCCTTTTTTGTGAAGTTCTTGGAATGACCTGCTGGAACAGAAAAAGCTCAAGGAGAGGAGGTGCTGAAATTTGCTGGTTTATCAGGTGAGCTGGTGCAGCTCCTGCATCCCTGTAGCCTGACCAGATGGCTGCTGCTAAGTGACAATTGAGGGAGGAGCCTGACAATGTCAGTAGTGGTGGAACTCACTAGCCTTCTGTTCTTATTGCACCATGTATTCATAGGCCTGGGAGCACCAAATACTTTAGCATTCTTGAAGCTAAGGAGGTGTGAACTAGACCCTTGCCTGTATGGGCGTGGGGGAGATACCTCATGTAAGTCTTTCTAAAGGAAGTATAGGGTAAATAATGAAAAGGACTATGGATTCTATCCTCTCACCTCACCCCACCCCACCGCCCCTTATAGGCTAATGAAGAGTTACGTGTTTGTAATCAGAATATATTGTTGGCTTCCCCTGAACCAAGGATTTTATTGGATGTATAGAACACAGGAAAAATACAAACAACTAATCTTCCCCCATCCCTCTTTCTTCAGAGAATATATTATTGGCTTTGGTACAATTTGGAGAGGATTTAGGTCATCTGCGACTGACAAACCTAATATAGTAAAAGATCCTGCTTTGTTTCCTTCCTATGACACAGTAAATCTTCAGGCCATCAAATCACGTTTTTCAGCAAGAAAATGTGGGTAAAATGGGAAAACAAGGATTTTAGACAGTTAAGAGATTACTTGAAGTGATCTCCCATCTCTTCCAAATGCTACAGGTTTTGTGGGAGGAAATCCAAACAGGCAGCTCTGTTCAAAAAATAACAACTACATGTATTATTAAATGTATTTACCACTTATGAGGGACGTGGGTGGCGCTGTGGGTAAAACCTCAGCGCCTAGGACTTGCCAATCACATGGTCAGCGGTTCGAATCCCCGCGGCGGGGTGCGCTCCCGTCGTTCGGTCCCAGCACCTGCCAACCTAGCAGTTCAAAAGCACCCCCAGGTGCAAGTAGATAAATAGGGACCGCTTACCAGCGGGAAGGTAAACGGCGTTCCGTGTGCTGCGCTGGTGCTGGTTCGCCAGAGCAGCTTTGTCACGCTGGCCACGTGATCCGGAAGTGTCTGCTGACAGCGCTGGCTCCCGGCCTCTAGAGTGAGATGAGCGCACAACCCTAGAGTCTGGCAAGACTGGCCCGAACAGGCAGGGGTACCTTTACCTTTACCTTTACCACTTATACAGTCGTACCTTGGTTTTCGAACAGAATGCGTTCCAGAAGTCCGTTCAACTTCCGAAACCTTCAGAAACAAAGGCGCAGCTTCCGAATGGCTGCAGGAGTGTCCTGCAGCCAATCAGAAGTCGCAGAAGTCAAGTCGGACATTCAGCTTCCAAGGCAAAGTTTGCAAACCGGAACACCTACTTCCGGGTTTGCGACATTCGAGTTCCAAGTTGTTCGTGAACTAAGCCATTTGAAAACCAAGGTACGACTTTATAACTAAGCAGCTTACAACTATGAAATCAATATATAATTAAAATACACAACAACAATTCTACCGGGTCACTAAAACATCCTTAATTCAGTTATACAACAAAACAAGCAATTAAAAAGCATGCCGGTCATAGTGGATATATTCTCACAAGGCATTTTGTTTTTGTTCTTTATTTGTTGTAACTGGTCTAATTCTGTTCATTAAAGTTTATTTTTAAAGGAAAAAACATGGCCATTAAAACAGTTAAAAACAAAAACAAAAAACAGTTAAAGTAATAGAATCATTTCTGGACACCTGTTTATAGTGCTACTTGTACTGATTTCATTTCTTAGGGACAGGATCCTTTCTCTTTCCTATAGGTGTACTAGGATTCCATTTTCAATCAAGTTCCATTTTAAATCAGTGAGACTTACACTGGAATACTTAAGGGCAGACAGATGTGGTCTGAAACACTTCTAGAATCCTGGGGCAAGCGTTGAACTTGAGCTCAGGCTGAAGCTGAGTGTGTGCTTGATTGAAATCCTGAGGTGAAAAAATAAGTATAGATAGCAGTGGCAAAGTCTGGAGAAGTGACTCAAGGTGCTAATGAGTTCGATGGTGGCTGGTGTACTCTGTCCTTTCTTGCCCCATTGCACTGACAAACAATCTATTGATGATCCCCAAAGCAAGTTTGAATCACGGAATCTAAGTGCTAGTGATTTAAAAATAGGTGGCCATGTGGTCCCTTGCAATAGCTATGCCATCCCTAAATATGCCAGCTGCAGGACAGATGAGAAGTGAAGTGCTTGTGATTTTAGTCCCATGCACCTTCATACTGCACACTCACCTTTAAACCATAGTTAGGTTTAACAGTGGTCTAAAGGGATGCTTGAGCAATGTGTGTATACAAATAGATCTTTATAAAGGCTTTAATATACCACTGCACTGTATGGCCCTGTTGAAGAACTCTTAAAACATTTCACTAGTTCTCAACTTGTGCTCTATACCTTTCAGTGTCGGAGACCTATGTGCCTAGCAGGAACACAGTTTTGTCTCCCGCATCACACACAGAGCCCAAGATCTCTGCCAGACCTTGCAAGGTGACCTAAAACACTCAGAACCTGCAAGCGATGTTAAATCTGCTTCCTCTGACTTACCAGATCAGCAAACAAATGTTTAGCTAGCAATAATGCAGTTTACAGTATGCCAGGATTTAGAATTCCTGAATAAAGCTGGGGGCTTCCAGCTGAGATGAAACATGCAGGTGGTGAAAATGTCTAGTTTGTACTTTATATTGGAAAAGCTTATTCCACCTACATGAACATTTTATTTATTTATTTATTTATTTATTTATCAGTTCACATCAGGCATGAACTGTTAGTGCCCATCTTAACACTAGATCATTGCACTCAATGTCCTGAAAGTATCTGATGTAGTTGCATCTCTTGAAGCTAAGCTGGTGCAGAATGTTCTTGAATGGGAAAAGAACACATGACTGACACCCCCTCATCCCCAAAACCACTCAGGTCAGTTTGGAGAGTTGAGTGGAATTCAGATGCAGCCTCATAAAACAATGCATTACATTTAAAATTTGAGTTGAAATGACACACCTTGTGGACAAATTTCAAGGATCTACGCTGAAAGTTGCTGAGCAAATGGAAAGACTTAATTTTAAGAAAATGGATGTATATTTGTTGCGTAGGGAGTAATTTGCTATTTTTTTCGTTGTGCATAGGTCTGCAATGCTTCTTAGTTCAGGGCCATTTCAAATGTGCAAGAATAGCATGAAGTTCAGTTCTTCAGAGTGCTGGTGGAGAATTGTACGTCTGAGCATTCCGTGCTTTAAAAAAAGCAGGAAAAGATCTCTGCATGCAGAAAGCTAGCAAGTCAGGAAGAAGGCAAGGAGAAATGCACTCTGAGCTTTCCAAGTGAAACAGAAAAATGTTTTAGCGGGAAACATTCAAATACGTATTCTCCCACTTGCCTTCCAAAGTGATATAGTTTAGAATGAAGAATGACCCATAGTTGCTGCATATTTGAAATTTAGTTATAGATGACTGTTCTGAAAACCCAATGTGCTGAGGTGGTGGTGAATAGATCTAACTATTTCAATATCTTGTCAGCCAGAGCTCTATCTGCAGTTCACCTAGACATTTTGTTTCAAAAGCTATAAAATAAAATATATGTTTTCTCTCCCAGTTGAAGTTACACGCTCAACCTTTAAAATCTGGGCTGGTGATTCGATCAACACCGAAATAAAGGGCAACTGGTGGGCTTGCTTAACCTCACTCCTTTCATATATTTCTGTCAGCATTTGTACCACCAACAATCAAGGCTGAAAACTAGCTCCTCAGTGGGAAAAAATTCATGTTTCTAAGCTGCATAGCATAGTTCCCTAAGCTCTATTATGGCTAATACATTCTAACCTTCAGCAAATACTGCTGACATTGGGCCTTTGAGCAAAAAGAAAATGCAAATTTCCCTGAATCCATGCTTATTGACAGGTTTTGGTTGTATGTGTATGTTTTTAGATCTAGCATATTTTTTTTCAGGTTTCAAAAATTCCTAACTTTAAAAGATTAATTGACAACAAATGGCGTGGTTGTTGTTGTTTTTTAAAGGAAAATAATAATAATAATAATAATAATAATAATAATAATAGGTGCTTGACTTTTCCTCAAAATATTGTTAAAATCTGACATTGGCATGAAGGTCAATGCCACCAGAAGTCTAGAGATAACGTCTATCTTGTTCTTGGACTTGCACAGCACATGCTGTTACCAAGCTTCCAGTATAGTGAGAACTAACCCAGAAAATTAAAGTACAATATGTCCTGGCCATGGATGGAGGTTCCTCAGCTCAGTTTCATTTTAAACCTCTGCTCTGGCCCCATCTCAGAGTTGAGGAACCCTGCAGTCTAGAAGACTCCACCAAGTCATGCTGCTGTTGTGCAGGATTATTGTTCCTCGCAGAAGGTCATGAAAATTAATTTTATTATTAGGGTTTTTTCTCATATTCACACCGGTATGTCGCAAAGGGCTCCTCCAGATGTCCTTTTGATTGCACATTCATGAGGATTTGTGCTCCTGATGCACCTTCAAAAGTGTCAGGGTGGTCCCACGGGGTGGTTCCAGTCAGTGCGTACCCTGTAGCATCCTGCTAAAATCCTGTAACTCTTTATACAGCAAAGGTTCTGGCTTATTTTTGCTCCACATCTGTTGCACTGTAGCCCCTCCAGAGAGCAAGAACGTGCGGAGGAATCACAATCACCAGTCTGGAGGGCCCCTAAATGTGTAGGAGTTGTACTTGTTGATGATTAGCTAAGAATGTCATCTGTGCTTGTTGCTGCTACTGCAACAGCATGGCCACCATTCTGTAGAGAAGCATAAAATTCCCTATCCAGGATCAAACTCAGGAGAAACTGCCAGTTTGTGGTAGAAACCTATTATGCTCAGCAGTAATTGGCCAGTGCTTGCACCATCACAAACCCACCAACCTTGGGGCCTTGTTTTGGGTAGCTCTTTAAAATGTACTTTCTTCTTTTATAAAATAAAAAGGGCCAAATAAATGTTTAAATGAATTAACCCTACTATGATTTAAAAACAAAATAGCTGGAAAGCCTGGCTGAGGATTTTAGGAGAAGGGGCGAGGTAGACAACTGCGATCAGCATTATAATTGCTGAAAAGCACATCTGCTCCAATGCATTTTGAAATGGAGAAGGGGGCAAAGGAGGAAGGCTGACTCCACAAGACAAAAAAAAGATGAGCTCTGTTTTTAAAAGTTTATTTGTTTAACAGGGATAGGCAACCTAAGGCCCTCGGGCTGAATGCGGCCCAAGTGCCTTCTCAATCTGGCCCACAGACGGTCCGGGAATCAGCGTGTTTTTACATGAGTAGAATGAGTCCTTTTATTTAAAATGCATCTCTGGGTTATTTGTGGGGCATAGGAATTTGTTCATTCCCCCCCCCAAAAAAAATAGTCTGGCCCCCCACAAGGTCTGAGGGACAGTGGACCGGCCCACGGCTAAAAAAGGTTGCTGACCCCTGGACTGTGAGCCAAAATCTAGTAAATCTAGTAAAGCACTGCAAGTCCCACTGATTTCATGGGGAAGAGTGTTTAAGTACGGTACATGCTTTCCTATCTAAAATAAATGAGATTTTAAAAAGCATAGGGCTGCAATCCTAGATGCATATGAGGCCCATTGAACCCCATGGGACTTATTTCTGAGTGGATTGCATATAGGATTTCACTGTTACTCTAAATGTGCTGTGTGTCTGTGTCTATATTTGGTCTTTTGAGTTATTTTTTTTCTCTGTGCGTTACTTATGATGAGGCGCACTGTGCCAGTCCTCACATTTTTCTCTGGGTTTCTGAAGCTCTAGTTTTCCTCCTCTAATTGTCTCTCTCTCAGTCCTTCTACAGATTTCAACAGCCTCTCCTCTCACCCTTGGCTAGGAATGGTTTTGGTCGGCTTCTTCTTTAAATTGTTCTTTTAAAAATATAATTAATAAATAATATAAAGGTCACAGTGAGGAAGTGGCAGCTCCACCAGAAAACAATGTGTACTCTCTAAATTTGAACCAAGCCATTTCCGCTCTTTGATTTAAGTTTAGTTGCTTCCTGTGGTTTCATGTCCTGCACTCCAGTTGAATCTCTGGATGGGCTCCAGTATAAATTGCACTCTTCCAATGAAATTAGAGACTAGCAATAGATGGGTCAGCTAGTAAACAGCATTTAAACCAAATACTATGCTGCTTGGTGTTTGGATGAAAAATAGTCTGAATATTTGAAAGGATTTTGTGCCCTCTACTCCAATTTTCAGCTAGGTCACTAAACTTTGTTTTCATCCATAATCTCTGAAGTTAGTTTTTGCCTTCTGTTACTTTTCTAGCTCTACATCGGGGACTAGTAATAATGATTTTAGAAACTGAAACTAAGAAGTCTGCTTTTAAGAAATTTGTATTCTGGTTACTGTTATTACTGGGAAGAGAAAGGTGAAAATGCAGAAAGCGTTGGCTGTTCAAAAACTTAATGCTAAATCACAGTTTACAAAACCTGCACTCCCTTATGCACCACTCCCTGCTTCTCCTTCAGCACAGTCACAAGTAGGAGACCAGAAGCTTTTGTTCTTATTTTAGATTTACCATAGTTTAGCTTTCAGGCTTCATGCAATCTCCGCTATGCCTTGTTGAAACAAGCCAACTTCAAACCATTGTTTATGAAGCTAACTTGCTTCAACAAAGCATAGTTAAAGCTAATCTCAGTTTAGGGTTTGGACATAGCAGTAAATTGTGGCTAATCTCTAATGGGAGTGGAAGTTTCCAATCTCCTCATGTTTGTGTTGGAGGAAGGGAGGCACGATATTGCGTGAAGATGCAGCTGTGTCCTAGTCGAGAATTTACCGATCTGAAAGTAATGGATGCTTGAGGAATGTAAGTACCCGTTATATAAGTGCTCCAAATCTGTGCACCGTTCTGACTCTTAAGAGCAAATGGGCCAGAGCCAAAGTAAAAACGAGTTGCAAAATTGCTTATTGCTTCTGATCATTTGTTATACTTAAGTGAATATTTGGGGTGTGAGTTCATATGTGATTTCCACATATCAGAAGAAATGTTGAAAACTGCTGCTGTAAGCATTAGGGTGGTGTGTGTGTTCTTAGTTTTCTTTCTTGAGTGGATTAATAACCAACCTTTCTAACTCTAATGTTCAGGATGAGTGTATTTCATGATAAGATGGCAAAGCCTGACCAGGCTTTTAGGGAATAGTTTTATTTCATAGTTCACAAATTAAAGGTCGTCATCCCCCCATTTTGTATGTGTGCATATTTTAAATATCTGCTTTTAATTTGTTGGTCTGAAACTATTTGGCTCTCCAGGTAAAGAAGGGAAAGAGTGTGATACCATCTAGTTCTAGGCATGTGCAAAGAAACCCCAACAGGTCTGAGTGTTCCTCTTTCTCCATTACTAGTTAGGCAGTTCAATCCCTGAAGTGGGGGAAAGTGGGTAGATAATGCTGTATGTTTTAAAGCTAGTGTTTATAAACCCAGTTCCAGCAATGGGCAAGACTGAACAGTGTTCAGAATGAACATGTGGTCTCTTTATGGACGGTCACTAGGCTTTTTGCTGGATTGGTTGCCTTGGTGTGTTTGTTTGCATGAATGATTTGAGCGGGGGGGAGGACACTTCACAAAGATAAGTAGTAGATATCTAAAAGCAGGTGTATTCATTTATTTAAGATATTTCTGTACTGTTTTTCAGGTGGCCCTCCCAAAATGGTTTACATGAAATGAATGTAACAATAGGCACCAAAGTTCAGTAACATTCAATTTTTCGCCACAGCAGCAAACCACAGGAGTGTCACTTGAGCTCTCGCAGCCATCCTTCCCAGAATGCCTCGCTCTGAGGAAGGACCTCCATGGCCCTTCTTGAAAAGAGGGAGGAAGTGATGGGGGGGGAGAGCCTTGCTGGGCAGGTGGCGGCAGCAGTCGCAGCAGGGCCCTCTAGCGGAAGGCCTGGCCTTGCCCTTTGTGGTGGCAAGCATCGCTTGGAATGCCACCACAATACACGTTACATGGTCTATGTTACCATCGCTTCCACAGGGATGGCACTACAAAGAGTTACACTGCAACTGGCTCTTTGACCAGTGCTGGCATAGGAACAGCTGAAGCAATTAGGCTTCGTTGGAACTGTGACAGCAACAGCTAATGTCTGAACTCTTCCCCCCCCCCTTCCTTCCTTTCTCCCTTTCCCTCAATCTCTTTCAGGACACTTAAAAGCCGCGTTTCTCGGTGCTGAAGGACAGCCTGAGCAATGGAGCCTCGGACGCCTCACAGCATTACTGGGGTTCCCAATTCCACCGTGGTGGTCCAGCCTCTCCTGGACAGCCGCATCCCCTACGGCAGGCTGCAGCATCCTCTGACCATCCTTCCAATTGACCAAATGAAGACCACGCACCTGGAGAACGACTACATAGACAACCCCACCCTGGCCCAGCTGGCTGCTCAGAAACATCCCCGGGGCCACCACGAGCCCACCCACCCCCCGCGATGTGAGCAGGACATCACCCACCCATGGATCTCTTTCAGCGGGAGGCCCAGTTCCATCAGCAGTAGCAGCAGCACATCTTCGGATCAGAGGCTCTTGGATCACATGGTTCCAGCCCCGGTAGCAGACCAGTCCTCCCCGAGGGCTGTCCGGATACAGCCCAAGGCGATTAATTGCAAGCCCTTGGACCTGAAGGGACCTGCTTCTCAGGAGATGGACAAGCACTTTTTGCTGTGCGAAGCCTGTGGGAAATGCAAATGCAAGGAGTGCGCCCTGCCCAGGACTTTGCCCTCCTGCTGGGTGTGCAACCAGGAGTGCCTGTGCTCGGCTCAGAACCTGGTCAACTACTCCACCTGCATGTGTCTGGTGAAGGGCGTCTTCTACCACTGTACCAACGAGGACGACGAGGGCTCTTGCGCAGACCACCCCTGCTCCTGCTCGCATTCGAACTGCTGCGCTCGCTGGTCTTTCATGAGTGCCCTCTCTCTGGTCCTGCCTTGCTTGCTGTGCTACCTGCCGGCCACCGGCTGCGTGAAGCTGTCGCAGCGATGCTACGACCAAGTGAGTCGGCCTGGATGCCGGTGCAAAAACACAAACAGTGTGATTTGCAAAGCATCACCTGAAGGGAAAGTTGGCAGCAGGCCAGGGAAGCCATTTTGATCTCTGGAGTGAGGAGGAGGGGCGGGTGGGGGTGGGAAGTGCCGAAAAACAACAGGAAAGGGAGTTTCATAACCTGCGTTGCGAGTGTAACGTGTCAGCCTTTTGCTTTCAACAAACAAAGGGAAATGTCTCTTTCCAGGAACTGAAGCACTTTGGGATTATTCAGGGGGTTGTGGAAGTGGTGATCTGTACTTATTATGTAGTAGGGATCTGAAGGATCTTTCTGAATATTTCTTTTTTTTTGCAGAGCAAAGGCAGAAATCTACTAGATAGGGCAATCTGAAGACTGCTTCTGTTCATTTCTTAGTCTTGGCTGCTTGCTAAGTCTACATACCACAAGAATAATTAACAGATGGGATTGGCAGGTACATCAACAGCTGAAACAGGGTTCTTATTCCTAGAAGGTGATATCCATTTCAGCCTCCTCCCCCACACTACTCCAACGTTTTATTTATTACCTGTAGACCATTGGCAATCAAGAGTTAATGTTCTCAACACTTTAGTAGGGACCCTGCCCAACCCCTCGATACCCCCTCTTAAGGCAGTTATTGAAAAAGATCCTTCTATCCATTCCCTAAGTCCTTTTCAGTCAGCCTCCATGGGCCGAAATGATAGAACTTGATAGGCAGAAATCAGCAAATGCTACTTTTTTACAGCATGGAGAGGCTGTTGCCCTTAGCTGATTGATGCATATCAAGCTACAGTTGAGGCACAGATGGAAAAGTGGGCAACCCCACCAGTTTCCTCCTCTTAAGGCCATTTTTTTCTTCGTTGCTCTCTCTCTTTTTCTTTGGCTTCATTGAGTGTATACAAAGAGTGCATCTTGCCTAGGGACATGATCTGTTGGATGCTATTGGTGTGGGTGCCCCCCCCCACCTGAACGATTTTGCCAGTGACAGGAAGATCTCTGACCTGCAGTCACTGATATGGAGATAATCCACTGCCTTCAGTAAGGCTACTCTTTGAGGTTTTGATTCTTAAAGTGCGCTGGCAGCCCTGGCAAAGCTTCCAGTAACAGGAGTGCTTGAGAGACGAGGCCCCTTTTCAGCCACGTGTTTCAGATGCATTTGCTTCTGAGCACACATTTAACACCAATAAATTACTTTGCCTAATCAAATGGCACATTTAGGGTATCACACAACAAGATCTTGCTAAGGCGAAGAAAAGAAGAAAAAAAAGCTTTGAAGGCACCAATATCATAAACCCTTCCATGTCAAATTGTGGCAGCCCTCCTCTCCTTGAAATAAACTATGTTCAGCTTAATTGAGCTACACATTAGTACTTACAGCATATGAGCCTAAACCAGCCTTTGGCAACCTGGTGCCCTCCAGATGTTGGCTGGGATTGATGGGTGTTGTGGTCCAACAACATGTGGAGGGCACCAGGTTGGTGAAAGCTAAGCTAAGCAATCACCTTATCCCTACATTACCCTTCTTCCACCTTGCACTCACAGGGCCAATGCAAACTGAGCACAATGCATTTGCATATATGTGGGATGGGTTCACACACACACACACACACACACACAGTGTATCAGTGCAACCCCAAGCTCACATGAAAGGTGGATTTGGTTTTGGCCAAATGACATTTGCTCAGTATTTAAATTCTCACTTTTATTGCTGCTGCTCAACTTTTGTCTCCTGTAAAATAACATTATCTTAGTAAATACAGAGGAATTTCTTTTAAAAAGGAAAAGAATAAGTCTGTTTTAGCATTAAGTACTTTTAGAGGAGCATGTGGAAGCTTAGCAGTGAATATTTGTTACAAACTGCCCATGATTTTCAGTAGCCAACAGTTTTCAGCCTCATCTATACACTGAAGGTTAGGGTTCTTGCACGAGGGACTGTTAAATTCCTGTTGGGAAGAGAACAGAAGCACCTCTATTCAAGACCAATGTTCCATTCCCTTAAAGTGGATTGATCCCATTCTATCGACAACCACAAGGTGCTAAACAGGAAACAGTTCACCAATATAATAAATCAAACTGAGTGGGTATTTGTTGCATGCAAAAAGCTGAACTTATGTCTCTGCTGGTTTTATTTTTCAACTTGGAATTCCTGTACTGGAGTGATTGTGTGAAAACTGCCTTGTTTTAATTAGGCAAGCAGTAGGCAAAACCACACTGTCATTCTCCAAGCAAATCAGATTTGTCATTTGAAATGAAATACACACTATACTGACAGTAGCAAACCATCGTTCCCCCCCCCCATTTTGCTTTTACTCATTGGGGGTTGACTTCATTTTTTGAGAACTGTATATATTTATTGATTGGGAAATATTTTTAATCTTCCTTTTTATATTTATAATATGCTGGCTATGTATATAGTGTTTCACAGAAAAAGGGATGCTACACATACGTTGTCAAGATACTGATTTCTATAGTTTCGCCTTGCCAAGAACACACTGGGCACATCTACTGGGAGCATCTGCCCATAGAAGTGAATGGGAGAGACATCAAGAATGGCTTTGGTGCCACTCCCATCCATTTCAATGCAGAGTGTTTCATAAGTTCCTGTTGGGTTGCGCACAGTATGTTGTACATATATATTCTTGCACAAACTTGAGGGAACCATGCAATGGGGGAGTGGGGGAAAAGAAAGAGAAACTTAGCCAAAATACTGTTGAATGTATAAATCGCCGTAGCTTTTCAAGGGATGGTAAACCAGGCTCACAGAGTATAAGAAGCAAGCTGGGCATCCAGCCTCATACACAACACTCTCGGTTAATTATATGCTTTATTGTATCTTATGCTCCTGTTAATGTGGGACAGCCCTGATCAGGCAACTACAGATTCTAGCTGGCTTGGCTGTCCATAGCAAGTAAGCAAACTGGTGGATCAGCACTTTGCCAATTTATATATGTACATACCCACCCGGAACATTTCTATATTTCTTATACAATGTTGTTGTGTTGTTGTTGTTTTTTTTTAAAAAAAATGAAACCAGGCCTTTAATTTTTACTGTACATAGCTCTAAACCACTGAAATTTCTACATGGGCTACCCCCCCCCCCGCCATTTTAAACCTGTCAAGGCCAATCTGATGTAAGTGGATCAATGTGCTCTAAAAGGCTGTGAAAGGCAAGCCTACACAAATGTAGCAGAATGAAGCTCCTTGTATCGTCCAGGCCCCCCTCTGGTGTAGCAGTCAGTCAGCATGTTTCTCCGGCTCTTTCCTCGAGGCCTAGCAACAAAGTTGACAAGTTTCATACTGAGCATTGAAAGGTTTCCGGATTAGACCAGCCCAAAAGCCTGGACAACATTACACTGTTCCTTTTAGATGGACTTGGCTGCTGTGGTAGCAAAGGATCCCTCCCGCTTAAGCCAACACACTTTTCCTTTTACGTTTTTTAAAGGCCATCTTCCACTTTTAAGGTACACACACACCCCTTTTGACATTGCCTCCAGATTCAAAACACTAAGTATTCAAAAGGTTGGATAATATGGCTGCATACATTTGAAACTGAGTGAATGCTGCACTGGCTGCACCCCCCCCCAAGGGCCAAAACTTATCAGAAAAGGAACCATCTTTCTTTTTAATTGTCCCAGCAGGTCAGGCTGGATCCTGGGGATGACCCCATCACTCAAGCGTTGTTGATCTTGTTGTTGTTTTGCCTTCCTGAAAACTCTTTATCATTGCTTTAGCAAAGTAAAATATCTATTTCCTCTTCTGACCCTAGTAAATGTCTGTCTTGCAGCACTGTGCATGTTTAGGTTTATTTTTGTTCAGTTTTGCAGAAAACAGTCAAGGTTCTTCTTTACTTCTTCCATCAACTGAAAAAAAATATTGCCACAAACGTTTTCCTTTGTATAGAATATTTATTTTGAAGCTCTATTTTAATAGTATTTATTTTAGAAGTCTACTATTGTAAGAGTTCTTCTGTTTGTGAAGAAAAAACAAGTTAAACTGAATGTACTGATCTAGAAATTATATATAAAATATATATTGTTAAATATACAAAGGTCCTGTGACTTCTTTCTTGAAATACAGTTTTTGACTCTCGGTGGTAAAATGGCACATACTGGGCCATGGGTGGCAAGAGATATTCCCTGGAGACTTAGGACCAGAATTCGTAATGTCATAGAACACTTCTTTGTTTATAAACTAACTTGGTTTTGAAGCTAAGAAGCAGCACCTCTGCAGAAGGATACTCGCCGATTTGAATTCCCAACAAGGCATAGCCCAAAGGGTGTGCTCTGACATCACCCACCTATTTGCGCAATCTCAGCTGGAGTACAACCGCTGTAGAGCTGGTTATCTGAGGCTAACAATAAAATAGCACAAGAAATGAGCAAGAAGAGAAATCTTACAGGAGAACAGGCTGAGTTAAATGGCTGAGGTTTGGGGTGAGGAGAGCACAACACTCAATAAAGACTCATAGTGGCTCGTCTTGAGCCAGGTGTATAGCATAGGTCAGGAGTAGGCAACCTAAGGCCCGGGGGCCAGATGCGGCCCAATCGCCTTCTCAATCCAGCCCACGGATGGTCTGGGAATCAGCGTGTTTTTACATGAGTAGAATGTGTGCTTTTATTTAAAATGCATCTCTGGGTTATTTGTGGGGCATAGGAATTCATTTATTTATTTTATTCAAAATATAGTCCAGCCCACCACATGGTCTGAGGGACAGTGGACTGGCCCATGGCTGAAAAAGGTTGCTGACCCCTGGCATAGGTCAAGAAAGGCCCCTATTAATGTCCCATTAAACTACATGGTAGTCTTGAACATTTCAGTTCAATATTCCCTACCAGACAAGCCATACTATCTTTGTATATGTTCACATATATAAATGATGATGCAATTTTAGTTCTACTGTTGCAATTTTAGTACTGTGGCCAGTGCTTTTCAACAAAATCAGCCACCTCACAAGTTTATTAGCAATGGTAATAAACACTATGGTGTCTGTATTATTCCCCTGTAAGAGGTAGGACTTGGCCTACCATCGCTTCTGTGCTTTTTTACCCAAAGTACATGTGCCCATATATGTAATCTAAATAATGTTTCCAAAACTCTTTTGTTATGCCCTCTAATACATGTAAAAAAAAAATTTAAGGTAATAATTGAGAATGTGGGGAGAGAGGAAGAGAAACCCTTCTGAAATATCTCTCATTTTCTGAATCAATTAAATGAATGGCCGCGTGCTCTGTTATGGTTGTGTTGAGACACCAGTTTCCAAACTCCACCTTTTTTATTTTAAAAATGGCCACCACCATTTCCACCTGGTAAACAAAAGTGGTAAATAGTCCCATGAGGCCTTGTTTTAATAGACAAGACACATTACTCTTGCATGCTGCCCCTACTACACACCCCACCAAAATACTAAAGAATATGGAATATTTAAACTGAATCTAGTGCAACCTTCCCATTTGAGAGCATTAAATATTTGTGAACAGCTTCCTCAGAGACTGATGTAACTGCTCAGCTGCCACATCCACTGATCCCTGAAGATAGTGGTCAAGATGTTTTGTGAGTAAAACATTTCCAATCGGGTTTTTTAAATGGGTCTCAGCATCTCTCCAATCAACTGAGTAGCAGGACATCATCTTCCATTTAAACCTGCCCAAGTTTCTTCTCCTTACTGGATGTTGAGAGAAGCTTCTGGGAAATCACCTTGGGAGCCATTTGCATCCCTCTAAAGTGAACGAAAGAGTTCCAACATCTTTAAAAAGGAACGTTTCAAGCAAGCACAACAGGGTTACATCAAATTGGGTGGAGGAGAAAATAACTAGTATGCACATGGGGCAGGTACCCTTTGACCCGAATCTAATTCTCATCATCCTTCTGGATAAAATAGTAAGACAGAAAATGCCAGAAGCTAAAGAACAGGAGGAAAGGAGTCATAAGGACAAATCATTAGAAACATTACAGAAGCCAGCAGGAAAAATACCTTTTGGAAAATACTCTTATGAGTTTATCTTTGCTGTTTGAAAACAAAAACACCTCAAACTCTGGAAGAACAAGATGCTTTACTTTTTAATTCTTTTTTATTATTACATTTATAGTCCACTATTCATCCAAGAGGCTCATGGTGGTATACATGTTTCTCCCTCTTCCAATTTTAGCCTCACAATAACACTGTGAGGTAGGTTTGGCTGAGAGATGGTGACTGGACCGAGGTCACCCAGTGAGCTTCATAGCCAAGTGGGGATTTGAACCCTGGTCTCTCAGGTCCTAGTCCAACAATCTATCCATTACACTTAGGATACAGTATTTTAAAAATCACTTCTTTTAAAATAAGCCCCTAAATGGCTGTTCCTCTACATCTGTATGTAATGTTCCAGAGAGCAAAATAACAAACAAGAATCACAGAAGAATTCCATTTCTTGTCAACAAGAGAGAGCAAGTCCACACATTTCGTCCTCCACAAATGGACTGTACTGTTATTTATATGTTGCAAAGGTGTCCTTCTGTTTCTCAGGGAGCTCTGAACTGCATTTAGCCTCACACAGCAAGCAAACCAGTCAGGCCAGTTAAGCAGAAAGGCAAATCACCAAGCCTCGCAGCTGAATGCTGCGTGGAACCAAAGCATTCCACACCACCGCATCCAGTGCTACGCTATAACTGACCATCTTAAACGAGAAATGTTAATAACGCTAGAGGCATCCATTAAATTCAGTCTTATTTGCAGGAACAACTGATGCTCTCTTGTAGTGAAGGAACCAAGCAGGGCACCCAAAAATCTCAAACATCTGGACTGTCTGGGTATATTCTGAGGTGATTCCCACCCACCTCTGCAGCCTTCCCAGCTTCCCAACTTTCTCCCTAACACCCCCACATTACCATATCGAAACCGTAGGCCGTGCCCTCACACCAAACTCATCTAGAAAGAAGAAGTTTGAAATGTACAATCATGACAAATGGGATTAATATAAGCCAACAACTTTGTGACGGGGCCAGAGGAGAAGCCCTAGGCCGCTTTGCCCCCTCTTTCCCACTTTCTCCCCCCCAGCAGTTTCTTATTCTCCCACTTTAATAAAACAATATCTACGTGGCCCGAGGCAGGTGCGATTTTCATAATTTATGGGTTTCGGAGACAGGAAGAGAGCTCCAGAGTTTTATTGTGCTTTGCTCACTAAATGGCATTCCGATTGTCTACATATCATTCTTTTAGGCTCTGGTATCTGGCAGGCGTACAAGCCTTTTTGGAACCCACCTGTGCCTGCTGCCCTCAGGCAAGGGATAATTATGAATACATCTGTATGTGCTAAGCAGGAGATGAATAAAAATTCTCCTCATTTCCCCATGTCATTAGAAAAAAACTTCCTGCATTGACACCTCTATTAGCACTCAGCAACTACAGGCTTGAAATAAACCTCCCTCCGATTCTTCCATTTATAAAAATAAGGAAATCTGCCTTCCCATCCCTAGCTTCTCTCCTCGCGTTGCTCCATGTGGACATGTGCAAATCCATCCCAGCAATTCCCAGCCTATCCATTGAAAGTCTTGAGATGACATTTATATATTAGGAGAGTGACTCAGTTCTGTTACAAAACCTGGGGTGAGGCTGCAATCCTTTGCACACTAAATTGGAAGATGGCATGTAGTGAACAGCACAATCATGTGTGTATGTATGTCCCATCGCATCCAGCGGGGATTACTCCTAAGTATGTGTGTATAGGATTTCAGCCTTACATTGCAATCCAACCTATGTCTACCAGTGTGTGTCACTGGATCTTAATCCCAGTTAAGAGCAGGACAGCAGCCTCAACCACACATTCACTTCAAACAAACAGAAGTTACATTGTGAATGAACAATTTAGGAAATAAAAAAAATATTTTTTGAAATTCATCAACAGCTGAACAGAGCTCCTGCTTGCACAGTATGAAAATAACATTGCCAGCTAAACCTGAATCCCACTGAAGGTTTCTCATGTTAAAGTTTCAGAAACCTTTGAAATATGTGAACTTTCTTCTTTCTACTGTTGGACTACTGCCCATTGAATCTTGTTGCTGCTTTCCTGAGATAGCTATTAAGCTAAGAATGTCTCAACCAAGTTTAAACAATTTGTTTGTTTGTTTGTTTGTTTGTTTGAGTGAAGAAATAAATACACATGCTAATACTCTCTCCCCTCAGCCTCAATCATATTTTTAAAAGCTGATGGTGGAGAGGTTTGTTCCCTGAAAAACAGAGGGAAACAAAGCCCCTTACAAAAATGAACCAGAATGTTTTTTAAAATGTAAGATTCATTCATGACAAAATACCAGCCGCATGCACCAGTGGCCCATATTCACAACAGAAGATAGATTTTATGGGGCCAGGTAGGTGTAGGTCATAATCTCATTTTAGAAATACCCCTGCAATATGCCAAGAACTGTGGCATAAGTTGTGACTGGTATCAATAGGAGCAGAAAATCTCTTTCAAGGTTAGCCTCATAAAGTTTTATTCAGTAAAGTTTTATTAGCTCTCAGCTTTAGAAAGTTACCACATCTGGTCACATCTGCATCTAATTTAAGTTAGTTTTAATCAAAGCGGCCCTTTCATTTAGCAACTTCCAGGATGAACAATCAATATATGCCAATGCCGTAACTGAATCTGCAAGAGTTGCCATTGCCTTGTAACAAAAATATAAAGCAGGCATAGCAGCACAGTTTTTTCGGACCCATTCAAAGATTGTTAAGTACTAGGATGAGATCTTGACAGAAATTAAAACAAACAAACATTATTGGATGCCAATGACCAAAAGACCCTTGGCTTGTATTATTTGCATACTGTAAAGAACTGATACCTCAAGAAGAACTAGAAATAATTATTCCTCCATTAACTGACTAGCCATCTGTCAAGAATGGGAGAGGCCAGACCCCGCGCCCACTACAGAAGAATGGTTAATAATAATAATCTGTATGGTTAAGTTGATGAATTTTTTTAGGGTTGGAGAAGGAAAACAACAGGAGAAAAACTATGTTGAGAAATGCAACCTGCTTATATTATATTGGAATAACAAGGCACAGGGT